ATTTTGTGACAAATTCGTAATTTGTCACTTAGACCTAATATGACGCGGCTACGGTGACGATCTTTGTGACGATAAAATATCGTCTTAATATACTATTGTGACAAAAAACAAAGTTTACATGACGAATTGTTTCGTCATGTTTTCCGAAATTTCTTGTAGTGAAACTTATCAGATCAACCTTCAAATAAAAAAGAGATGCTCCGATGTCAATTAAGACACCAAATCAAAGTATTTTGTAATAAAAAAGACTAGTACAGAGTCCGTGCGATGCACGGGGTGCACAATTTTAAGTCACTTATTCATTCTCATAATTATATAAATGAATAAAAAAAATGTACGGGATATATATAGTACATGACTTGTAATAGGCCAAAATGTGAACACAGGTGATACACGGGGTGCACAATTTTAAGGTCATTTATTAGTAAAGAGCCCGTGCGATGCACGGGGTGCACAATTTTCTAATATGTATAATAAAAATACATACAGTATGCACGTGACAGAAGCACTAAATGAGTCATTTCCACAGAGCTTGCCTGTTAAGTAGCTCCTGAACATGGGTGTAAAATTTGTAGTACGTACCATAAAATCAGAACAGATTTCCATACAATTAGATAATAGATTAGATAATAAATAAAGTCTTTTTATTTTAGTAAAGATTTTACGTACTTTGTTTTTTTACTTGTCGGATGTTATGGAATTTTTTTTGTTAAACCGATTTTATGGAATATAATACAAATACAATTAGAGGATTGAACAAAATCAGAACAGATTTTCATACAATTAGATAATAAAAAAGAATTAGATAAGGAAAAGAATGAATTAGATAAGAAAAAGAAGAAATTAGATAAGGAATTTTGAATCTGACTTTTTTTTTTGGATAGATAGATTTTACGTACAAATTTTGGCTTCACTGATTTTATGGGATTTATTTTGACAAAATCGATGTTAATATGGAATAAGACAAATAAATAAAGTCTTTTTATTTTAGTAAAGATTTCACGTGTTTTTTTTTACTTGTCAGATGTTATGGGATTTTTTTTCTTAAACTGATTTTATGGGATATAAGACAAATAAATAAAATAATTTAATAAAATTATGGATAGAAATAGCAATGCATTAATTACGTTGCCTTTTCAATCTACTAAATTTGGTAAATAGGATACCTTATATAATAAGTATAGATACAAATAAATAACATGCCAAAATTTTAAATAATAGTTAATGTATTTTAATTTATTATCTAGCATCAGTAATATCATTTAATGATGTGATCATTATCTCTTAAATGATAAATAATGTATTAATTTTAAAAAAATATTTGTTTTTTATATACTCAAATAAAAATTAAAAAATACTATCGACAAATATGATTTATAATATATATCCGTAAAATCATTGCAGAAGTTAATAAAATTATATAAGGAAAGAATCTTTTTGATCATATTTGAATAGGAAATGTATATATGCAAGCAATTAATGCATATAATAACAAATTTCTAAATAAAGTATGCATTAAATGTGAGTTGACTTTTTTTGCTACTATTTTTGGTAAATAGTATGACTTTTAATATAAGTATAGATGTGCAAAAAAGTAAATTTAATTAGTACTACAGCACCCACGTGTTTCAAGGATGTTAATTCAAAATTTATATTTTGAAAATTACAATATTCATAAGTTTTTTATTTAAATTTTCAAATGCATTTTTTTTTTTTTTTTTTTTTTGTAGCTAGCCATGGTATCCGGAGCTACGCCCCGACTAATCCGATGGTCGACCCGGTCGCACACCTGGCAGTTGTGGGTAAGTCTCCCAACAAGGGTTTTCTGCATTCACAAGGACTCGAACTCGAAACCTTGCTTAAGCGACATCAAGCTGCTTACCACTTGAGCCAACCCATGTTAGTCAAATACATTTTCTTTAATAGACTTGATATATAGATAAACTTAAATAATAATTAATATTATTATTATTTTTCAGTCGAATGTATTAGATAAGTAAATTTTTATTTATGAAGGTAAATCTATAATTTTTTTTATATATGCAATATGGATATATGATAGATAAATTTAATTAAAAACAAATATTTTTTATTATTTATTTTATAAAGATAGATATATATTTTTTAATTTATGTTATGGGGAATGCTAAGGTAACGTTACGGAATCATTCCGTCGGGTTTGTAACCGTTAGATCATCATATAACTTTCAAAGATAATTGATCTAATGATTACAAACCCCAAAAAAATAATTCCGTAATGAAACCGTGGCATTTCCATGTCGATTATAATAATAGAGACATTTTACCGCATAGTGGCATATGTAAGAGGGATTTGTGTTAAAATTTAGGGAATAAAGAGACATTACATGTGATTGGGTCTTCGTGCGACAATCACAACGGCCGTGCTATACCCATGAGCCCATTTCATATATCTATTTATGGACCTTGTCACATGAGCCCAATTACAATTTCATGGACTTGATATGTTAACTAACAAAATTATAAGAGAAACTCTTCCCCATTGGCCCAAATCACCGGGCAGACATGATTTTTCAGAAATAATTTTTAAAATATATTTTATGCCTTAATAATCATATCAAAATGGCTAATTTCTTTTTCATTTTTACGCCTTATTCATTGGCAGTTATTTGTTTAATTTATTTTTAATTTTTATTTCTGTATCCACACCGATTCTCTTCTTTTTTATTCTTCTTTTTTTTCTTCTTTTAAGTAGTGTTTGGTTCGAGGAATTAAGTGGAGATGAGAAGGGATGGATAATTTTAACTTTCATTACTTGATTACAAAATTAGGAGGGGAGAGAAGAAAATTTTAAGTAGATTTTCCTCCCCTCACTCATTTGGAATGAAAGTGTTTTATTATGATGTGAAATGACAATTTAGTCCATATTTTGGATTGTTTTTATTTTTTTATCTTACTTCATTAAGGGTAAGTTTGTCATTTTAATTTTATTTTCCCTTCCTTTAATTTTGTAACCAAACAGTGTTCGTAATTTTCCCTCTCATCTCCTCCAAAATAATCTATCCAAACAAAGTAAAATTATTTTACATTATTTGCACCTCCATTAAAATCACTTCCTTCTCTTCCCCTCTGTCGAACCAAACACACCTTTAAAGCAGTTAAAATTGAGAGCAAGAATTTTTTCTTATCGCAATTGCTTGTGAAATTATTCATGCGCTTGAAAGCGTTGGAAATCCCTAGAGCATATTTGTATATAGAAATTTTTTATTTTGTTTGGATATTTTGTTTTGATTTGATTAAATTTGAAAAATGTAATATGATTAGTTGTTAGTGTGTACATTAAAATAATATTTAAAATGAATAATTAAAAATGATTTGATGTAAAAGTGTGAGAGATGATTTGAATTAATGGTTAATTAAAATAATGCGAGTAGATGAATAGTGAATCAAAATTGATGTGATGTGTATGAATGAATAATTAATATTATTCAATTATATTCAATTTGATGATAGTGAAGTTGAGTTATAAAAAATGGTCGAGTTAAAATGTTGAAAAGTTTTTTGAAAATTTCCATAGACAAACATGCTAATCGGGCGTGTTTATATATGAAAATACTCAACTCTTATTCAATTCATATTTAGAATTTAAATCAATTTTAATCCAACTACACTATCATTAATATTATCGATACAATTAAATAATACCAAACAATCACTATTACACATCACGTCAACTTTTTAGTTTATTATTCATCCACTCACATAACTTTAACTAATCATAACTTCACACCATAGTCTCATATTTTTATATCAAATCAACTATAATTATTTTATTTTAAATATTAGTTTAATATAAAATCAAAATCTCACTGACAACTTACCGTATTAATTTTTTTCAAAATTAACTATAATTAAAAAAGAAACTCATTTTTTTAGCATATATATATATGTATACAAAACCTTATTCAATTGGTCATTTTCAAATTACCAATATAATTGATTATGGTCAAAATTTTCAATCACCTTTTTAGTTTATGTTTCAGTTAATATATAAAAAAAAAAAAAAAATTGTTTTTTTTTTTAAATTTAAAAATACACTCAGTCTTTATTTACATCCTTTTTCTTTTGATTTTAAAAATATTTTAAAATAAAATAATAATATTTGGTCCATATAAAATTTAATATGTCTATTTATAGACTCAATTTCTTTTTATTAATTAATTTATAGATATGATCATAACCGAAATAACAGTGGTGATTGGGACCATAAAATATTTCTTTTTATTAATTAATTTATAGATATAGCTCGCAATCTGCTTCTTCCCTTTCTTTCTCCCATTCAGATTCTTGCTGACATTTGCTTTTCTATTTCATGATTTTTGATCAATTAATTTATTTAATTTAGGGTTTGATTTTTCCCCAAAAGCCCTTTTGGGTTTCGAACGCCATCTTCGTCTTCCCCATGAATTTCATGCTCTGAGCCTCTGCAAATGTCCGGTTATTTTTTGCAGAAAAACGATCGTGATGGTATAAGGCAACTTGGGCTTCACGAAATTCGGCCATTTTGATTACGATTCTCAGTTTGTGGCCCGAAAGCTTGCGGGCTTTGCGATCAGATTTGTATTTATGTTGTAGGGTTGGAGGGGCATGTGAGAATCACGGATGAATTGTAGAAAATTGGGGGGAAAAAAGAAGAAATGAATGGAACGGCGTCGTGTTCTGTGGATTCACGTCGTTTTGGTGATCTGAGAGGGGTCCAATGGCGGGTGGATTTGGGGATTTTGCCGTCTTCTCCGTCTTCTTCCATTGACGACCTTCGCCGGGTTACGGCCAATTCTCGTAGAAGGTAAATGCTGGCAATGTTTCTTTTTTAAAAAAATATGATCTTGGTTTAAGGGTTGTTAGAATATCACTTGCGAGTTGTCCCACATGGTTCATACATGGAAAATAGACCCATCTTATACGTTTAATGGGCTACTCCTCTTTTCACCAATTGGTTTTGAGATGCAACTCCACTTGAGCTTCATATGGGCTTTCCCCGGTGCGCTTCATGTTAGTGGGCTCACACGTTTCCCTTTTCCCCCGTTTCTTTCAAGGGTTTTGAGTTTTGTTCGTGTTGGGAGGACTGCTGATCTTTTTTCCCCTGATTTTCGTGAGGCTGAGAAGGAAGTAATAGATTTGCTGTGTTCATGTGGTTCAAAAGTTCTTGTCAGATGGTTTGGAAGTGATTTTCGTCAACAATAACTTTGTCATTTTGTTCTGCCAGTGTGGGGACATAATGAGCTTCGAGTAATTGGTATATTCAATCTGCAACATCATTCATGCTTGTATCATGTAGCTGGTTATAGTGTTTGTAGGTGATTCGATCAAAATGTTAATCTCTTAAAATGGACTATTGGCTTCTAATTTATCTGTATGATAAAAGGTTAAATCTCCAACTCAACCATCTTCAAGGCCAACATAAATATGTTCCTAGCTCATTTACCGTGTCACTGCGTTTTTTATTCTTTTTTGAGTTAGATGACGCATACAATTTTCTACAGTTACGCATCTTTGAGGAAACAACTTTTAGTCGATCCGCACTTACCAAAAGATGGCAGTAACTCCCCTGATCTTGTTATGGATAATCCGCTGTCCCAAGACCCCGGTAAGATTTGCATTTATTCTTTGGACCTTTTTTAAAATTTTTACGCATCACAATGCAGCTTCCTAATCTTAGTTTTGCTTAGAATTATCACCCCTTTTATTTTTACTCCTTTTTTTTTTTTATCCCATTTGTCCTGTTTGATTATTCATTGCTGTTTCTTCTGCAGACAGCTTGTGGAGTCGCTTTTTCAGAAATGCTGAGCTGGAGAGGATGGTTGATCAAGATTTGACACGCTTATACCCTGAACGAGGCAGCTACTTTCAGACGAGCGCATGTCAAGGCATGTTACGGAGGATTTTACTGCTGTGGTGCCTTAGGCACCCAGAGTGCGGTTACAGACAAGGTATATAGTGCTACACAATAACCGGTTTTTACTGTCACTTTCTCCATTTGACTACATTTGGGATGAACTCTTCAAACTAAAGATGTTTGAAGTTTGAACTATTTATTTTCCTTATATAATGTTCCTTGAAAGAAACCATTCCTCTATACCATCTTTCATATTGTATAACACTGAGTTTCCAAGTCCATAACTTAATTTTTTGTGTAACATATTCCAGATTCCAGAAATATATTGTCATATATATTGTTTTATTATTCACTGTTACAGGGATGCACGAGCTTCTGGCCCCACTCCTATACGTCCTCCATGTTGACGTCAACCGTCTCTCAGAAGTCCGTAGGGCCCACGAGGACCACTTTCCCGACAAGTTTGACGGACTCTCATACAATGACAGCACTCCATCCTATAAATTCGACTTCAAGAAGCCCGCAGAAGCTTCCGGAGACTACCACCCCGACCCAGAAAACAATCCACCGAAACCCAGAAGTCTCGCTGATCTCGACCCTTCCACCCGCACCATCGTCCTCCTAAGCGATGCCTATGGTGCCGAGGGCGAGCTCGGCACCGTCCTCTCCGAAAAGTTCACCGAGCACGATGCCTACTCAATGTTCGATTCTCTCATGCGTGGGCCCCACCACGCCAACTCAGCTGTTGCCATGTCAGACCTTTTCTCCCCGTCCTACTCGGGGCTTTCCCCTATAATCGAGGCCTCTTCTGCCGTGTACCGTGTCCTTGCCGCGGTCGATCCGTCCCTCCACGCCCACCTGATCGAGCTCGGGGTCGAGCCGCAGTACTTCACCCTCCGTTGGCTGCGCGTGCTTTTCGGGCGTGAGTTCTCACTCGAGAACCTGTTGCTCGTCTGGGACGAGACTTTTGCGTGCGACAACTCGATTTCCAAAAAGGATGATGACGTGACAGAGTCGTGCTTCAGGGTGCTCGACTCACCCAGGGGAGTTTTCATTGTGTGTTTTGCGGTGTCGATGATACTCAAGCTGAGGTCATCCCTGCTCGCGACCGAGAACGCGACCGTATGCCTGCAGAGGCTGTTGAATTTCCCGAACGCCGTGAATCTGAAGAAGCTGATATCGAGGGCGAAGTCATTGCAGGTGCTGGCAAAGGGAATTTTGGGTCCGGGCCTGTTTGATGGGAAAAAGCCCGTAATTGCGAGAGGTCACACTCACACACTGTCGTTGGATTCGGCTTCTCCTCGAACGCCATTGAAGGAGAGCTATTGGGAGGAGAAATGGAGAGTCGCGAACAAGGAAGATGAGAGGCTGTGCAGGAGTGAGTCCGAACCTTGTTCGTCATCTATGAAATTGGATTCTGTCAAAATAAATCAGGAGCCGTTTAGTTTGTTGGAGGATCTCGCGTGGCAGCTTCAAGATGATAATAGAAAGAATGCAGGTTGTAATAATAATAATAATGATGATGATAATGATCATGTTAAAGAAAACGTAGTGTGTTATGGTGAAGTTGACGGACGAGATAATGTCACCCCCAAGAAATTTGGTAAATTTCCAAGTGAAGTCGAGAATTTTCCGGATTTCTCAGATCCAAACAGTCCGCGGATTAACAGGGAAAATAGTGACGTGGAGAATGTATCGGGATGTAGCAGTGTCGCGTCGAACTCATCTGTGGATGAGAATTATGCTAAAAAACGTTTGGCTGATGATGAATGCAACATGTCGTCAAAATGTTGTTCACATAAAAATGACGATGATGATTCAGTGAAAAAATCATCTGCAACAACAGGGGTGAAAGAGGAGAGGAAAGGTAAACTCCAGTGGCTGTGGAAGCTCGGGCGGCATATGGGCCAAGGAGAAATGTCTTCCAGGCCTTCTGATGTAAAAAGTTGTAAGAATGGTGAAATTAGCCGGGTTAATAATGTCGCGGCTTTTTCTTCAAGTGAGAGCTCGTCTGAGACAAGCAGAGGGGATGCGGTCGAACAGAATTTGATGGTTAGCTTGAGAAATCTTGGTCAGTCCATGGCGGATAACATTCAGGTAAATTTTAAGCCTTTTTTTTCTTTTAGAAAAATTACAGAGAGGCTTAGCCAGAGAATGAAAAGAAAAAGAATAGATGAAAAAAATCAGCCATCTTTTAAAAGTTTACTTACATTGTTTGTGATATTCGTCGTCTCTACCTGCATTGTATCGATGTGGAGTATTTGTTAGTTGACTAAACAAACACTCGAATATCGATGTGGAGTATTTGTTAGTTGACTAAACAAACACTCGAATGGTCGACCTGCATTGTATCGATGTGGAGTATTTGTTAGTTGACTAAACAAACACTCGAATGGTTGTGCTTGTGGCGCCTTTACGGAGATAGTTGAAATTTTGAGGAAACATCATTCAGTTTTTATTTGTTACGAATCGTTTAATCTGTTCGTTTTTTTGGACCGGCAGGTGATTGAATCCATCTTACAGGAGGGACACGGACCACACGGTCAATTTCGACTGTCAGAGAATTTGCCGAATGAGGGTTTTATCGTTGAGAAAGGGCAAGCCATGGCCATGTCAGCACTCGAGCAGCTCAGGAAAATCAGCAGGATTCTGTCTGAGATGTGATGCATTCATATGCAATAGTAATATACTTTTTATTTTATTAAATTTATTTTATTATTATTATTATTATTATTATTATTATTATTTTTTTGCCAAATAGTGGAGAAGCTCCATATTCTTTTGTATAAATTGGAATTCAGATATATACCATACATACATATGTAGTTGTTTGTACGCAATAGTTGGATGAGTACAGACTAAAGGTGCTGATCTATTCTTTTAGTGATACTAGTAAAGTGCACGTGCGATGCACGTGGTGACAAATATTTTTGACCGATAAGATAAATTAATTAATTAATTAAACATATGAGTGTAAGAACAAAATAAAATATAGAACAAATAAACCCCTAATATTTT